GCAACTTCAGCTACGCTATTCACGTAGCTGAAGTTGCATATCTTGGATCGATCCCCCCCCAGTGTAGACCAGCCCTTACTTTTGCTCCTTCCTTTGACTGACAATATCTGCAGAACTTTCCAAGGTACAGTGTGGGGCCAGATTTTTCTCTCATTTACAGTGGGTGGCATTAATATGTTGACATTCAATACACCAGGGTATTGGTTTGTACCATGCTATTTATGGCATTTTCTATACTAAGAATGGGTAAAAATGGCAAGATTTTAATGGTACCCACTGTACCGTACATGCTTACAACCCCATGGATGTCAATGGGATTGTACATGTGTAGCTGAGGTCAGAACTTACCCAATGGCATTTAAGGCTTTGTCCACATTAGCATTTTAGTTGGTAAAACTTTTATCAGTCAAGGGTGTGAAAAAACTCCCCCGGACTGACATAAATTTAATTGACAAAAGCGCCGGTGTGGACAGCGCTATGCTGGTGGGAGACGCTCTCCCACCACCATAGCAACTGCTGCTCATTGCAGGTGGTTTAATATCTCTTGTCGGCATAGAGCGGCTACAGAAGAGACCTTACTGCAGTGGTACAGCTGTGCCTTTGTAAGGTCTGTAGTGTAGACACAGCCTAAGCACTAGGGATGGGCCCACGTTATTCTGTCTTATTCAGGACCTACTTGAACAGCATGGGGATTGAATTTTCAACTCTTAACTTATTAGGTTCTCATTCTGCTTAGAGGAGACTGTGAACAGAGAAGGTGGGCGGGGGGGCGGGAAGAGGAGGAACAACGGAGGAGAGTGACAGACTGAGAGCATGGGGAAAAAAGAGCAGAGATGGTGAGGGGGAATAGTTTAATGGAAAATTCCCAACTCTCTCTCTCTCAATATTTTATATAATGCTTTTGTGTGTATTTTACAGGCCACCATTGTATGACAGCTTAACTTTCTGAGCTGAGCTCAGGGAGACGAAGGAATTCTTCTAACCTTGATACATAGTACAGACTTCCTGTCAGCTAGAAGAACACGTCTTAGGCCTCGTCTCTACTAGAAAAGTAAACCAGTTCCACTAAATCAATGTAAGAATCAATCTAGTTAAAGCAGTGCAAATACCTGCACGGTTACACCAGTTTAACTCTTGCTCATATCTGTATAGCTTAAGGCCCCAATCCTGCAAAGTGCTTAAATTTTATCCCGTGAGGAATTTTATTGAACTAAAGGGGGCTGCTTGTGTGCTTGAAGTTATGCCTGTGGGTAAGGCTTTAGGCCTTGGGACCTATTGGGTAGCTTTTTAGGATCAGGGCCCAAGTCAGTAATTTACCAGTGCAAATTAAATTGATATGGGAAAAGATTAAATTGGTACTAGTGCATCCAAATTGGGGTTTGCATTGTTTTGGATCAATTTTTAAATCGATTTAGTTAAACTGGTTCACTTTCTCATGTAGACAAGACCTTAAAAAATCTGAATCATCCTTTGAGAAAAATGTGGGTTTAAGTAGCAGGAAAAGCAGATTTACAAACAAAACCTTCTTGTGCAAACCCAAGAAAGGGTTTAGAGAAGTCTAAAATCTCACACACCAGGAAGGCTGCCCGTTCCTGCTAGACAGGGCGCCTCGGCGGGAGACTGGCATAACAGTAAGATTGCTGATCTGCAGGCCTTCTTGAAGCAAACGTATATTGGCAAAGGGTTCTCTTCCAGACAAGAACAACAAAAATAGGGAACACAGAGGTAGGCTGGGGTGGGGTGAAAACAGAGTTTATCTGAAAACTTGTGTGTTCCGCATTTTTGTCTGTCCTTTTAAATACAAGTGGGATATTTTTAAGATCTCATGCATTCCTCTCAATATATACAAGCTGAATAGTATATCATACGTTTATATTACAGATGAATTTACACTCTTTTCAGTTTAAATGATAATCCATTAATAGTTTAAAGCTTGATAGCAATCATAGTTCACAACCTTCTGGTTTACGTTCAAAAATTAAAGTCTAAAACTATGTCTTTTATTGGGTTCCACTGCCAGTGACCTACCATTGTAACTCAGTGCTAAAAGTTACTACTGACACCAAAATATCTGACACGGCATAGTCTGAGCAACTCCTGAATTTGTCGTTATATAGAGACAGCTGGTCAAAATTTATTGAATTTTGAAAATTCAACATTCAAAAAACAAATGGGAAAAATCAAATTTTTTCTGAATTATTTCCCCCCACTTTTTGTGGTCAACTTTTTTGACATTTGGTAAATGTCAAATTTAGTAAAATGGGGGGGAAAATTGAAAAAAAAAATCACAACCTTTTTGCCCTTTTTTCAATCACTTCTCTCTCACTCTTTAATAACAGGGAGTTATTAGCTGCTATGAGGGCTCACTAGACACAAGATATGAGGTTGTAAAACATCTCTTTAATCTAGTGATTGAAGACCTGGGATCAAATTTGTCTATGGTATAAATTTATTGACTTGATTGGGTTTATAACAGTCCCATAATGTTTACTAGATTCTACCCAACATTTCTCTTAAAAAAGAATTGGTGACCTTGCTTTCAGATCTAAGAGTGAGGTTTGCTCTACAAAAGATCCCAAGAAGTTGGGCATTATCATGAAAAAAGTTCCAAGTGACTCAGTATCCTGGGTATGACTATATTCTGAAATTCAATCCCCATTCAGGATCTGTATTTCCTTATAAAAATATGATTCCTTAAAAAAATACACAAATGTAAAATACTACATTTTCTATTATATTGTCTCTTATTTTCAGAATATGCAACTTGAAGGTTAGACTAAATGAAGAAGTAATGCACAGCTAATTAAGAACCCTTCATTTTGCAAGCACCTTTGTATGCCATCATTATGCTCCCACTAAGTCACTTGCTCATAGTTTATTTTTCTTTTCAGTATTGAGATAACCTCTGAGCCATTGGTTAACTTGAATAGAATGGGGAGAAACTGTCGGAAGAGTCTTCAGTAAAGTTCCAGGGGGTGTTAATTCAACATTACAAGGGCAATGGCAGCAATGTCATACAGTGGTACTGAATCAGGATCTGATCCTACGAGATGGCGAGCGACAGTTTTTGTCAATGGGAGTTGTAGCACTCAACACATCTCAGGATCACACCGTTAATGGGTCGTACTGCAATGCATAAAACTGGAGTGAGCACACAAATAATGCCCAAACTACACCCTGTGTTAGCCTTTTAGGCCCTGATCCTGAAAACACTTACGCACGTAAGTAATTTTACTACTGCAAGGAGTTCCTTTGATTAAAAAGGGGACTCCTCACAGAAAAGCATGCCTATGTGTTTTCAGGATTGGGGCCTTATATTGCACCTCTATGGACTGGACTCCAGTCGCTTAATTGAGAAGAGCTTGTATACTCTAATAGGGCTATGGGGATTGAAAGATAATGTTGTGTTTTATACAGCTTTGGAATACAGCCTGCAATGTTGGGAAAAAACTGAAAAGAAGAAGAAAAACGAAAGAGTGCTAAGGCAAACTGTCAAATGGCACATCATGCCTCTTTTGTCATTCATTTAGATAACATCACAAAGGCAGACCAGAAGAGTTCTGTAAACATAGAGCATACAGTACATCAGCCACAGGAAATAAAAAAAGAAAACAACCCTGTAATTCTTTCCTTTCTGTAGTGATGTCCTTATAATTAAAAGGAATTGCCTGGCCACTAAGAATAATGTGTTTCATGATTTTGTATGTTTTTTCTTCATTGTTAAAAAAAGTTGCAGTGATTTGCCAGACAATAGTCCCTCGATGAAAACTCGGCATGACATGCAAAGTAAATCTGTAGAAATTTAGAAAATATAAAATATAAAAGAGTTCCGCAGGCTATTTTTTTGTTTGTTTGTTTTGTCTTTTTTCTCAGTCTAGGAAAAGATACACTGAAAAGTTAGTAGGTTTTTTGTTTTTCTTACAAAAGTTAAGGCAAACAGTTTATTGTGGCAAAATGTTGTCACAGAACCATTTCCAACTCTGTTTGTTTGTTTGTAAATATCTTTTCATGCTGAAATTGCAAATGAACACAAGCTTCTTAAGTTAACCAGAGACAGGGAGCTTGTTTAAAACAAAACTGAAAACTCCCATCATGATCCTTATGAAGTCTCAATATGAAATATATCTCTGCTTCTTTCAGAAAGTGGACCCTTTGCTTTGTGTCTGATTGCGCACATATTTCCGCAGGCTATAGAATATTTAGGGGTGGGGGGAAATAAACCTAGTCTGAAGCTCATAGAAGCCATGTAAGCCTTATTTACATTCATTAGCCTACGTTAACGTGTTGCACTTCTCGATATAGGCTGCAGTTTAATGAAAAGAGGTTAAAATGAAAAAATCTAACATCCAGATGATGCTGTGAGATTTGCTAAATAAGACAATGCTAAGAACTAAATATTAGGGCCAGCTGGGGTAAATCAGTATAGTTGAAGATTTGGCCCTATGAGTTTAGAGGGAACATTTTTTTCTCTCTTTTTCCTTATTCCCCTCAGACAGGGAACCAGTTTTGGTCAAGAAGTAAAAGACCTTTCTAGGTTATCTATTAAAAAGCCATGGCTTTTCTACTTTAACATTGGCCCATTAACCACGATGTCCACACGAATTAATGCAACACAACTGGTCTTTAGGGGCATTAAATATTAGTTTGCAATAACTGAACAATAGCTTTTTGGCAGTATGAGAAATAAAAGTCTAAGGCTTGTGCTCTACTTCTAACCAATAAAGACTCACTTCTCTCTTTCTTATATACCTGTAGCTCCCATTGACTATGTGATTATAACAATGCACTAGTCCTGGGGTACATGCATGCCCCAATGTGTCTGGACTTTCAAGGGAATCACTTCCCAGGTAATGGGCACAGGAGGATCATGTGATGAGGGAGCATGTGATCTGCAGGGAGGTATAAGGACAGCCTATATGAGTTCCGAGTGAGACTTGAGAGTGATTAACACCTCTGAAAAATGAGGCTGTAAGGTTTCCAGGACGGAAAAGTTAGCCACCAGTCATGCTGATGTAATCACGGGATCACCACAACTTTTTTTGCTGATAAAAATGACCTGTTAATCATGCAAGTTTGATGGAGATCTAGAGTAATACTTTGCAGAATTCCAACATTTCAATTAGGTTGTGATCCATATGCTCACTGAGGTTAACGGGCATCCAATGAACTTTACATCAGGCCTGTGGTATATTCCCAATACCAGCAGTGAATAGGTCAGCTAGTATGATTGCAGCAGGAGCCATCTGTATGTGGCTATCATTTGCTAGTCTCCACTTGCCTTTCACTAAGGGCCAATGGATAGCGGTGAAAGGTTAAGTAAGAGGTTTGCTATTCATGGCTAACTGGAATAGCATAAGTCCCTTTTCTTCTTTTCTTTTTCCCTTTTGTTTTTGTATGTCTCATATAATAGCTACCACAAACAAATGTTTCTTACTGGCACAGAAAGAAAAGAGTTCAGAGCAAGAACTGTTTAATCAGATGTTTAGAATGAATAGTTAATGCAGTAAAAACGCCATCCAAGAAAGAGTAGAAATATCATAGAAGCCACTTCAGCCTGGAAAGAGGGGTGGTTTTTTTTGAGGGGGGGGGTCGTTTTTTCTTTTTTCCCCTTCTTTTTTTGTGGGGGGAAGTCTGGTAATTTCAAAGATACTTTGACATAATCACCATGATTGAAAATATTTAACCACCAAAAATTATAGGTGCTGCTTTTTCTCTCGCTTGTACTGGGGTAAATCAGGAGTAGCTCCCCTGAAGTCAATGGAGTTACACTGGTGTAAAACCAGTGCACGTTAGTTCAGAATCAGGGCCATAGTCTTGCCATGAAAAAGTTGACTTCTTTTCCACTGTAGATAGTAGAATCTAAAAGCCAAGGTTTTTAGAACCAATTAGTGATTTTGGATGCTTCAGTGTTTTCGATTCTCTCTTTGAGATGCTTGAGAAGGATCTGAATTTTCAGAGGGCAGGTGAACAGTTTTTGAAAATCAAGCTGCTTTAAGGGGCCTCAAATAGAGCACCCACAACTCCGCCCCCCCCAAAATGAGGCATCCAAAATCGCTAGACACTTTTGGAAATCTTGGCCTAATCAACATAATCCTTCCTTCTGAAATATCTACTCAAGTAAAGCTCCAATGTGTTTCCATGGGAACCTCGCCTGAGTAAGGATGGTAGGATCAGGTCCTAGATCTGTACGTGTATAGGTTTACTTTGATGACACGTATCAAGAAATGCTTCTTTGAAAGAAAGTACAAAGTGAGAATCCGTACTTTCTCCCATTGAGGTCAATGGGTGCTTTTCCACTGACTTCACTGGGAGCAAGATCAGAGAGTAAAATGATTCATGTTCGAAGGAAACAGAAAAATAGTATCTCTCATATGCCGGTGTTCAGCAGAAAAATCTCATAAATAAACATAGGCAGAGTTACTGAAAGGCAAGTAATTAAATCAGTAACTACATTTCACTTGTGGTGACAGCTGGATGTTTTTGATGTCAAGGTAATTTCCACTGTAATTTAAGGAGATAAAGAAGATGCACAATACTGTAATCTGGAAGATTTATATAAGGCAAAATCATCATTTGTGATTTGTTAGAAAGAATAATTAAGGTCCACTTTTGGTTTTACCAATAAGCAGAAATAGCCTATGGCATTTTTTTGACGCCACAAAATGAACTCCAAAGTTAATGTACAACAAAATTATGCAAACACTTTGAGAAGGGTGTATCTGAGTTTTAGCAAATTAAAATGATAAAATGATCTATGCTCCCTCCACCCCACAAAATCTATAAAATAATGTTAAAATATGATTTTTTTAAGGCTCTCATACCTAGCTACTGTGAAATTCAGACTCCCACAAAACACTGGGAATCTGATCAATCCTGACAGATATATAAAGTAAAATATAAAAAGTGTTTTCTTTATATATATATTTATATAAAATCAAGTAAATATGAAAGCGTTTGTTCACTTTCCCATTTCTCTCTCACTCTAAAAACTAAAAAACAAACAGTATGTTTGGTGGGAAAATAATATTCGTGTGTGCATCTTCCTGAAGAACTAGAAATCAAAGCAACCCATCTGCAAGGCAATGGAGGCATTCACTTCCAGTTCACAGTATTGCAGTTAGAAGTACAGTGAGGTCTAAGGAAGTGATGGAGCAGGTGCTGCTCAGAACAGGGAAGGAAGAAGTGGTCACATGATAATACAGCATTGACATCGCTTTTTCTTTTGTGTACCTGGGACTGGTTCCATGGGCAGACTTTCTTCTTTCCCCTCCGGAGAGGAGGGCTCTGTTGTGTCAGACAGAGGCCTTCCGGAGACCAGTTCGGCTGCATTTCCATCCATGGTGGATACGTCAGTCACGGTCTTCTCACGCAAGGACTTCTCATCATCTTCATCGATGAGGACCAGTTCTGCCTTGATAGTTTCATCATAGCCCAGCACTTTTTTTGTCTCCTCTTCATCATCAATGTTTTGGTAACCCATAAAAATCATTGTCACTGGTTGATCCATGCTGGCCTCTGGGACTTCATCTCCAGAGATTTTTGCTTGGTGTTGAGGATTCCCAGAATTCCCCTTGCTAGGTTTATGTACCATTTCTAATTTTGCCTCTTTGAAGAGCATTTGTTCCTTCACATGGCTAAGGTTTCCATCTGCTATCACATTCCTGGCTGACACAGCCATTTCATACCCTCCTCTTACACTTGATTGTCCAGCTTTCTGTATAAGTTCATCTACATCCTTTGAGCTTAATTTATGTACTCCATTTTCTACCACTGTGCTTCCAGAGTGAACCTCATAGACTACCTTGCTACCATCATCATAGACTTTGAATCTTCTTTGATGGGTCCCCTCTGGGCCAATAGGTGATGCAGAGAGAATCTTGGTCTCTCCGGTCTGTTTGTCTTTCTCCACATTAATTTCCATGGCGTACAAAGCTTGAATGAAAACAAGAGAGGAAGTGCATGTTACAACAAAAAAAGCCAGTGAACGGTTAATTGCCAAACAGACAGAGAAAACTACTGTGCCCGTTTCCTATGTAGCTATTTCTAAAGAGCCAGGCATTCTACGTTAGAAGTGAGGTGCATACTGCGAACAGAGCTGGTTATTACAATACAGTACTTTATGTAACGGGATGCGAGGCACTCCTGCTGTAAACTAGAGATACTCTTCCAACTAAATCTGTGCAGAAAGGGGTTCTGGTCAATTAGAAGCGTGAAGATCATTTAGGTTAAGTAGGCTCATGGTGTACTTTTGACAAAATGAGATGACAACATGCAGGTCTACCACAGCCTTTCATCTTTGTGCTTGCCTCAGGTTCCAAGAAGAATTTGATCTCAAAGCTCCTGACGTGCTCCCCCTCCTACCATCCAGCCCATAAACAGCTGTTAGAAAATTTTGTTTGGGAAGGAATAAAATGCCCCTGACAGCTTGTTTTATTATTGAATACTTACTCCTATGTATGCCTTTCATCCATAGCTCTCAAAGCACTTTACAAAGCTTGGTAGTTATCATTATCCCCCGCTACACAGATGAGGCACAGATCACATAAATGACATGCCCAGCTCACACCGCAGGTCAGTGGCAAAACTAAGAACAGAACTCAGCTTTCCTGGCTTCCTGTCCAGTCCTCTGTCCATTGGATCAGTAAGTAACTCTAGGAAGTTAGGTGTGTTTTTAACATTTTGATTGTAATGAAAAGTACATATAAAAAAAAAGCATAGAAGTACCCAAGCTGATTCTTTTTATGGATTCCTAAACATTGTTTTCAAAGGGGAGACGGTCTAGGGGTGCACTTGATTTCAAAACTGGACCAAACAAAGGGTAATAGACACACATGAATTCCAGACTCACAAGGAAAACATTCCCCGGCATGAAAGAGTTAAGAAAGGTGCAGTAACAACAAGAGCATTGTGATCACCACACAGTGGGGTAGACAGGCAGCCCACTCACAACTATATCCCTCATGCTAAGGTCGTGGTGCAAACTCCAGAGCTCAGTTTTCAAGGTATAATTGTAAAGGTCTCTCAGCTTGTCTGAACAGAACTTTCTATTTAAATGCTCCTTATATGAAGATGAAAACATTCTGTCTCCTTAAAAGGTACAAACGCACAATTAATTGCAGTTGCCATGATGGGAGTTGTCGCCAGCTGTTGTGAAACTTACCACGCTGTCTCATGAAAATTCCAATTCAATGGACCGCAACAAAATTATGAGGATTTCTCTTACTAGTCACTTATTGGTGAATACAAAAAGACCTAACCCCATGTAAATTGTTACACTGTCCATTAGCAGTGCTGCATTTTCTAGTACGGATATTCAATACAATCCATATATATTTTTCTTGAAAATAGTGGTAACATAAAAATTACCTGAGTGTGGTTTCAATTCTCCCTACTCCCTCACCATATTATCAAGCTTATGTGTAGATTCCTAGGGCCAAACTCTGTCATATGCATAGGGAGCATATAATAATTGTCGGAGAAAAACACAGTTCTCACTCTTTTGGTTGGGTGCAGCAAAGTTAAATACTTTATTGCATAAATAAACTTAAAAGACTTCTCTTTGCACATCTAGAGAAATCCACTTCTGCATTAAACACTTTTAAGACACTTGGAGCTATGCACCATGCGTCTGAGATTACAGCCAGCAAAATTCTAAGCAGCCACAGTGAAGGTTTTCTATATCCCTACTGACTTTATAAAGTGGGACAGTCCCATTTTATTTGTTTGTATGGATGTATTGATTTACACCTTTGTGCTTGGTCAGTTTTCTCCCGCCCCCTTCTTCAGTTCCCCCATGCTTTTGCTCACAAAGACAAGAACTGAGTTTAAGGGGGAGAGGGGCTGCTAGTTCTTGGTCCTCCTACATGGGACCCCTTGAGTGAGGCAGTTAGTGGCTCACCAGCCTGCTGTCTTCCAAATTCACCTTTCTGTCCAGTGCCCAGCAGGTAAGCAAGACAACTGTCTGAAACCGGAATTCCAATAGCTCATTGACAGGAAAAAGCATGACTGCCTGTATCTACCCGGCCGGTGCCCTTATGAATTGCTAGATTAGAGTGCATGCCAAGGAGAGATGCTGTGAAGTGTCCTTCACTGCTTCTCCAAGCAGGAGGAGTGCAGTGTGGTCCTATTCATTTGCTCGCCAACCCTTGCTCCTGAGGGCAACACACGTTTGGAGTCTGGAGTGAGTTTATGAGCTCCCCAAGTCACAGGCCATCACTTTAATCTGCCATACCATTCAGTGCTCTGTCCAGTGTTATGAAGGGATCATGCCCTGCTGCTTGTGCCGTGACTGGATGTGTGGAATAAGAGGCCCCTACGACAGCTCCCTGCGCTTGTGTACAAGTACAGCAGAGGGCTGGGCTGAAGTTAGCTCGGAGCATTTAAAGCAGAACCTTGGTTTGTATTCTTTGTTGCTATTTAATTGGCTGATTAGTTTTAGTGTCTCCATGTGTATCATTAGGGATATTACATGACAAGTAGCATGTTTCTGTTGTTTGGTTTGTCCCCATTTTGGGATCTCTGAGACTTGTGTTTCTAAAGTCTCATCTAGTACTTCTTATTTGAACCTTAAATCCAAGTTACAGAGACATGAAGATGATTAAACAAGAGAAGAAAAACCCCATTATTACTGTGCAGGAGCTTGCTTGTTTTTGGCTGGGGTTTCTGGGAGAAGTGTCATCTAGAGGCTAGGGGCTGGGGCTGGGGCTGGGAGTCAGAACCTCAGGGTTCCAGTACTGGTTCTGCCCTGACTTGATTTTTGATATCGAGCAAGTCACCTGACCACTCTGAAACACTCAGGCACCTCGTGGGCAAACACTTCAGTGCTCAGTCATGTAAAAGTTGCTGTCATTTTCAAATGGTGTGTCTGTTTCAGCTGTGAGGCAGTTCAGATTGTTTAATGCAGAACAGGGCTGTGATTTTCCAAGCCCTCCATGTGCGGAACACCCAATTGAAGTCAATGGGAGTTGCACCTATAGAAGGCTTGAGGACTGGTGCCGACATCTATATCTGACCTTGCAGGACTCAGCGGCTCCACACTTTTGAAATAAGGTCTCCAGAAATACAAGTAAGTACCGACTTGTCCACATTTAGAAAGAGTTGCAAGATGCATCTCTTTGTCCAGATGTCAACTCTTGATGTACAATGATCTCCTAGGCATTTAGGGTCAGAGTTTCAAAAGAATTCAGAACACTTGGAAGATTGTCATCAATGACCATTTAAAACACTAGTTGGAAGGAAGGAACTGTTTTCTCACTGCTCATCTGTGTTAGAATTAACAGATGTGGTTATATCTTTAAGTATTAAGGCACTGATTTGGGAGCTTATTGTCATTGTTACATATTTGTTTATTCCCTTCAAATTGATTTCAGAATGTCGCCCCTGGGACTCTTACATTAGTTAGCTCTTACTCACAGAAGTAGTGCCAATGACTTGATTAAAACTACTCCTTTGAGTAAATGCACATTGATATAAGCAAATATTTCACAATTGGACCCTTTATAAGCAGACCCTAGCTGAAATGTATTACCATGGGAAAAGCAGAACGAGAGAACTTTGCTAACCTTTGCTTTTGTTAATCTACTTGCAGATGAAATGGGAATCTAGTATAATACTTCCAAAAGTTGTTGAAAAATAAACCATGTGATTAATTTTTGTCTTTGCAGTTCTTTTCAAACAGCAAAAAGCACAACTTATTAATACGGTTGGAAATTGGTTGATAGTGAAGCGTTGAAAGTACAACAGTACTTGAAGACGAGAGCCTGCATTACTGTTAGTACACGTTCTGTACAAGTTTAATTACAATGTAACCTGATTTAGTATTTCATAAGAATAACATCCCAGAGTACATGTTAAGGAGTACTGCTTCTGCCTATTAAATGGTCTTTAAAAACAGAGCTATCAAGTCTGTTACTTTTTAAAAAGAAGTTCTCAACAATCTTTAAACATGTAATAAAACAAAGCTTATGTTAAATAATCTTGACTGTGTGTGCTGCTTGCCCTGTCCTTTAAGCTGTTGCAGTGCATGGAGTCCAGTTATCAAAGAAATACACAAGCAGAGACTATTCTTTTCATGTTTTTGACACAATTGAGCTAGAAACACACAGGCAAACGGGGTGTATCAATCTCTGTCTAAGGCGGGTCAGATTTAGCACTGGGATGCGCTTTCTGGGTGCCCTGCAAAGAGGAGCTCAACCAAATGAAGGGTCCCCCATTTGTGGATTGCACCTCAAATTGATACACTCTCTTGCTGCATGAAATAATTGGAATGCCATTGTACCATCTTTCGTTATTGCTACTCTGTGATGGCAGTGACGTATCGAGCTGCATGTTGGCATTACTGCATGGAGCATATGGTTTTGAATAGAACAATATTGAAAAGATAAGTAAAATCAACAGCTATGATCTTGCTCATAAATTGCTCCAGTTTAGAAACGCATTGAGGCTGAAATTCTGTAGCCCCAGCCTAAAACACAAAGGCATGTAACACCTTTTTTTGCCCCCGAAAGAGTTAAGCATTGTGCTGAAATAAACAGCTTCTTTCTGTTCTGTAAGGTTTTATGCACATATTGGTGTGTGTGTGTGTGTGTCTCATTCATCTCAATGGAAGTTGTGTGGGTGCAGGAAAGGTGCTATTATCATGGCCTAGATTCCATACATTTACATCAGCAGAGATGGAGAGAGAATCAAGCTGAATGCTTCCACTAAAAAGAAATCTGTCAAGTGTACAATGCTACTTTTTAGGACTCACAAAGTACGTAATATATAAATAAATGACTTTGAAATTGCTCACTGCTGTTCAAAGAGCCTTGACTTGTTCACAGAATACAAATCATGTGGCACTTAAACTATATCTGGGCACCAGTCCCATTAAGGTTAATATATATAAACAGAAGTTTGTGTCTGCTGGATTGGCTAATAGAATACAGATCTCCTTGAGACTTACCAGTTACCCTGCTTGGTCCGTCCCACCCAGGAACTGGCTCTGCTGTTCGTGAATAGAGGGTTGGGAGTTCGGGGATCTGGGAGTAAATGTAATTTACTGCATCTGGTGTCAGAGAACAGAAAATACAGTTAGATAATGTTATGAGCCCCAGTGGCTTCATTGCTTAGACAGCAGAGTGTTAACTTATCAACCCAAACAATAGACATCAGAGCTTTGTACTGGATAATTGGATCAAAGTAAACAAAGTGCAAAGTCACAGTCATGTGATTGCTGTTCAGTAGACTAGCTGAGGTAGGAGGGAACATGTCCAGATGACTCAAACTTTGTGTCAGTTGCACACATCAAACTATTTGTCAGGCGCTTCTGGATTTTATCAGGTCAGTGACCTCAACAAATGAATGTTGAACCCCGTGTAATGGGTAGAATAAAGGATGTTTTATAGAGAAATACTCAGATAAAATGAGGTTTAAAAACTCTGGAGGTAACTGAGTGATCAAATGGCATGACAGACCAGCTCCTTTATATCAGTCATATTAATTTTGTGTTTTATAGGTTGGTGAGCTGGCATTTGGCTGAAGTTTAACCTGTAAGGGAAATACTGTCTCCATGCTGGTTGATCCCATGTTTACTTGACATTCGGTGGGAATATAATACCTTGCAGTTCCACAGTGCCACATTTCATCCAAAGCCCTCTGGCCCTGAGTCAACAAGAGCCTAACTTTAAGCATTAACTTTAGTAGAACTACTCACATGCTTACAGTTGGGCACATGCTTCAGGATCTTGTTGAAATGGGACTTGAAAGTGGTCAACAAATATTGACTAAGCCTCACAACAGCGCTGCTGGGAGGTAGACTAAGGGAAATACTTACAGATTCCTAAATTACACACAGATAGGTTAAGTGACTTGCCCAAGGTCATGCTAGCAGCCAATGGCAGAGTCAGAAGCTCTCAGTCTCCTGCTCTAGGAACTTGTTTCTGGGTTTAAGCACACAAGACAAAGTAATTATTCAAGATGTTTGCATGCTAGGCAGAAGAAGAAAGACCATATTTTGATTCCTGAAGCAACACTGAATTATGGTCACAAGGTGTATTTCCTGCGGTTTGTTAAATCGACTCCATATTTCCAGGCACAGCTGTTTGTCTCACTCTGCCGATCGCTGCATTGATCCCCTGAAATCCTATAGTCTAGTGATTCCTAGTCCCCCAGGGAACAATATGTATAGCCATCCTGGAGTGAGGGCCCCATGGATCTCAATTACAGAGACAGAGAATTATGTCTTTATTGCGATCTCCAGTCAGAAATGTGCCTCCCTCATAGCCTCTGATAAAAAAATTAAGCTTATCTAAGGCATGGTACATTTACCCACCCTCACCACTGAAATGTAACATATAGAGACTGTTTCCTGGGATCCCTGATTTTCAATCTCACTTTGTACTGCAAGATGTTTGGCATTATATATTTCATGATAACTTCTTGATCCTGGTTTATTTCAATCAGAATGGTCCACTTTGGTCTGTACATTGTGGAACTTTCCACCTTCTCTGGTGACAAGTTCTATTTATCTGAGGTACTTAAATAGCCCTTCCTTGAAGTAATATCTGAGTGCCTCACAGTCTTTAATGTATTTATACTCATAGCACCTTTGGGAGCTAGGAAAGTGATACTATCCCCATTTTATAGCTGAGGCAATGAGACAGTGTGAGACTAAGTGACTTGGTCATGGTCAGACAGGAAGACTGTGTCAGAGTAGGGAAATGAACCCAGGTCTACCGAGCCCCAGACTATCATCCTAATCACTGGACCATCCTTCTGAGAGAAGCTCAGGAGCAAGTCAAGGCAATTTTCTCTGCCACCCTGATAGGTTTTAGCAAAAATTCTGATATTCACCAAATTTTATGGTAAATAAGAGATTCTGTATTCTCTGTTCTCTCAAAACACAAATCTTCCAGTCCTTGGGGTTAAAAAATATAGATGATGTTGTTTCTTCTAAGTCTGGTGTATACTAGTCTTGTTAAAACAATAAATACTGGAGGGGAAAAAAATCTGCCTGCTTTGATCTCTCCCACAGCTTGTAAACAGAAGAGCTGGGAAGGTCTCTGCAGTGTTTGTCTGTGTGTGGATCCAGGCAGGAGGGGGAGAAATCAGGCTTAAGAATTCATTTGGTGGCTGCTTCATCTATTTCTTTGTGAGCAAACGTGCACCTCACAAAACCCACCATCATAGTTGTTGGTAGTCTCAGTAAAAAGGTGAAGCAGAAAAGGGGTCTAAAGGCTGAATTACGCTCTGATCTCTGAAGCGGTGTCTGTGCTAGGAAAGTCAGGACATGGTGGTAAAAGGGTCTCAGCCTGGTCTACACTAGAGCCTCCATCACTGGTACCATCAGTAAAGCTGCACAAGTGGTGAATTACAATCTTGGGCGAGTATTACGGAGGTGACAGCCTAGAAGTCTTCCTCCAGCTCTCGGCTGTGGCACCTTAATTGAGTGAGGAAACTTCCATTGCCACTGCTCATGCTGTATCCGTTGTGGGTGTAAATGGAGAAAGGTATTATCTAACGCTGCCAATCCAGCATCTGTCACCACTACAGAACCCACATTCCTCATGGAAACACATATATGCGATTTGTACCCAGTGCCTTTGAAAGCAAGAGCTGGGTTTGGGAAATATTCTTTATTTCACACCTCAGTAGGCAAACGTAAGCCTCCGGAATGGGGCTTTTTGGTTTAAATGCATAGTGCCGTCTGAAAGCTTTTTTGTTTTGCTGCAATAAGGCCTGAGAGAAACAATTATTTAGGACACAGCTCACTGAGCAATGGACAGTAACAGCTGCTCTCTCTTTTACAAGGTTTCTTGCCTTTGGTGAGACACGGGTACCATTCCTTTGTGCAGTTATTCTGGGAATCTGCATCAGCAAGTTTCTGAAATCCGTTTTCCACATGCAGAATGGCTGGCTCTTTCCTACGTGCCAGAACATGAAGCAGATTGTTCTGGAAGCAATGGAAATCCAATAAATAGTTATTCAACCAGACTATGGAGGGTCTATTTGGAACAGAAAACTGGGAACCAGGGCATCTGCGTTGCAATTCCTTCTCCGACAGTAAATCTCTCTAGGGCAGTGTTTCTCAAACTGGGGTCACCGCTTGTGTAGGGAAAGCCCCTGGGGGGCCGGGCTGGTTTGTTTACCTGCCCCGTCTGCAGGTCCGGCTGATCGTGGCTCCTACTGGCCACGGTTCGCTGCTCCAGGTCAATGGGGGCTATGGGAAGTGGCATGGGCCGAGGGACGTACTGGCCGCCGCTTCCAGCAGCCCCCAATCCAAGGAGTCACACCAGATCTGAACGTGGTTTATACTTAGTAATTGCTCTCTGTAATCCTAGCCTAACCGAGAGTGATGGAAACACAGTATACATACAGCCCAGCTCTATACTGTCTCTCCAATGTCCATTGCAGCATTGTGCAGGGATAGCGGATGCTTTTTGTAGCACATCACATGCCATGTTTAAATGAAAGGCTTGTCAGCTCTTTGTCTGTGATGTGCCGCCAGGGCACTGATACGCTGCGAGCTGGCTGTACTATGACAATGTAAGAGTCAGCATGTGACAGGCCTGCCGTCCCCAGCCTAGTCATTTCTATTCGGCGTCCTCTCACCGGGTGATCCGAAGCAGTCAGTCAAAGTGCAGTTACGCTGTGGCAAGTGACAACGTGGGAGTGCTGTTTGTTTGCCTCATTGACTTCGAGTTCAAAAATGGTCATTTAGAAATAAAAATGATGTCTTTTTCCATCTTCCAATTCAACCTGACTTCTCTTGGCTCCATGAGTCATTTTTATATAGTCACTTTTCTGCTGTTTGAATGAAAAGGAAGATGCTCAACCGCCAGTGTCTCAGATAGAAGAAACATGAGCACAGAGCAATTTATTCGCTGGTTTATGGACTCTACAGCGTGGGGCACTTGCCTGGATCCTCTGGGCATATCTCACTTAATCAACGTCCTGCCAGTTCATGGGCCTTAAGCATTGGAGCACGTCAGCCCCTCTTGTTGTGGCCCATGGCACATAATAGTTGTGTCTCCTCAGGGCTGTAATGCTTTTGTCTGATTTCGGGCGGCCTTAGTGTGGGTGTTGGTGGCCTGTGCCGTACAGGAGATCAGACTAGATGATCTGCTGGTCCCTCTATGACTCCAGGTCCTTCAGGGAGTGTCAGCAATTGACATGAGGGTCATGAGTGCTAGATGGTGCACTCGGCTCTGTGCTTTAGCAGGTTATTCCTTCATTGTCCATCACAGGTTTCCTCGCACTTTCCTCTGAGGGGTCTGGTAGTGGTGATGGTCAGAGAGATGGTTGGTCTGCAGTGATTCAGCTCTTCCTATTTCTTCTGAAAGATGTTTAAAAATTTACATAATGAGACAGCTCCCTATTGGCTACCTACCCGTTTCTTCCTCCTGAGGTCAGCTATAGTTTATGCTTACTAACTTGTCTCCAGTTCAGACGGCAGAAAGAAAAACGATTATTAATTTTTTTGCCAAACACTGATCTTTGGTCAAACAATGCCTCCCAATCGTCCATGTGGTGGGCTTGCAACATGGACTTTCTCTGGGAGAGCAGAACACAAGAGGCTTAACGGTTCATTCGTGATATCATGTATAGAAAACCCTGGTCCTTGCCCTGAAGAGTTTATAATTTAAGGACAAGGAACAGATGAAGGGCGAGGGGCAGCAATATAACATACAAGTGAAGTGGTTACGATGATGGTAGACACACATCTCATCAGCTGTATTTTTGCTCTGATTATCTATTTATATTATAAAAGCTTAGTTTTAGTTTGCATTGGATTTGGACGTTCCTGTCAACCTCTGTGAAATCCTGCTTCTTGCTAACTTGGGAGGAAAGTTAGCCTCAAGATGCAGGTAAACTTTAATGAAAGGGGAAGTCACTTTTGGATCCTCGAGAAGCGCCACTAGTGAGGGTGCTATGATAACCCCGGAAAATACCCCGGCCACCATTTTATAACTGGGGTTGCCTACACTGAGACACTTAGGATCAGTTTTACAAAGGCATTTAGGACACAGCTCATGAGCTTACCTCTGTGGACTGTGAGTAATCACACTGAGCTCAATGGGACTACTCACGTGAGTAAAGTTAGACATCAGCGTAGGCCTTTCTACAACTGGAGCCTAAATGTCCCTTCTGTATTTCCACACCCCCCAGGTTTTCTCATCTTTCCTCCATGCTATCCCTTACTCTGGAAACACATCTGATGACCTTTTTCTCCTCAGCCTTTCAGTGTAATCTAGCACCTATGGGCAAGGATGGTGCCTTCATCTGTTTATGTACAGCATATAGTACAGTGATTTATAATTCATAGACTTTAAGGCATGATGGACTATTAGATCATCCAGTCTCACTTCCTGCATAGCGCAGGCCTTAGAATCACACCCAGCTACTCCTGCACTGAGCCCAATGACTTGTATTTGCTCAAAACATCTCTTCCGGAATGTCTTCATTTGAAGTTGTCAAGAGAAGGAGAATCCATCCAGCAATGATGCCCAGTGAATAATAAAAGCAACAGAGAGTCCTGTGGCACCTTTAAGACTAACAGATGTATTGGAGCATAAGCTTTCGTGGGTGAATGCCCACTTCATCGGATGCAGTGAATAATAATAATAAAAAATACAAATGGAGGACGCTGGTCTGCTTGGGTATTTTATAGAGCATGGGGATGGGCGGGCTGGTTAGGTTAAAGTCAGAACAGAGCAACACAGACTAGTTTATTAGTAGTAGTTTACATACTATTGAATCAGATGCAAAAGAACCAAACTACTACAAGAAAAGCTACTCACGCTGGCAGTGTTTCTTTTCCAGCTGAGGGAAGCTCGTTAGAAAACCTGGTTGCCAAACAAGTCCAGAGAAACTTTGGCTGAAGACTGGAAGTATTTGGTTGAGGTTTGGAGTAGGTTCTTAAGACAGTCAAGTCAGTTTCTCCATTCCTAACCAGAAGTACTTACTCATGTTAATTAGGGCCTGATCCCGAGCTTAGGCACCACTGAAAAGTGACACCAGGCACCTGACAGAAACTTGCCTTGTTTCCTGTCAGCTTGCCTGCCTGCCCACCTGCCTCCCGCAAGCTCTCCTACTCCTCAGCAGCCCAGGCAGACTGCCAGCTCGGTTGCCATGGAGGCAGGGCTTCAAGGCTCCTCAGCAGCCCACCTGGAGGTCGACCCGAGAGTCTGGGCTTCCCAGCAGCCGGACTCAGCAGGCAGCCAGGGTCCCTCAGGAGTCGGGCAGTGGGCAGCCCATGGAGCATGCCGAAAAATTCCATCGAGGTTCTCCTGAACCTGAACGTACCAGTCTCTCTCTCCCATGAGCATTTTTGCATTTTTGACCAAATTTGTCCCAATTTGGGATGAACATTTTTAAAAACTCTGAAACTTTTCACAGGAGGGAGACTGCTTTCCAGCCCGCCCTACAGGCCTACACGTCATGACCTGGACAGGAGCAGCAGAAGTGCCCTAAAAGGGGTGGGAGGGGGCCCACAGGAGCCTGAACCGTCTTCTCCCCAATGCCACCTGTTCTCCCCAAGACCCCGCCCCCGCTCCTCCCTACTCCCTCCCCCCATCATTTGTCCTTACAGCCAGTAAAATGTGGGAGGGCCATGGCCCCCTTCTTTGGAGGCCTAGCCTCTTGCTGACAGCAAGCATGAGTTAAAAGAAAGGCCAGTATGTGAATTACATATGATTTGGCCATTTGGGGCTAGGTGACATTTTTGTGACAGGTTGTCTGAAGGTTTCTGTTTATGTGATCTAGCTCCGAATAGCCACTGGGATCACGGTCTTCTCGAAATGTCCTTGTGCTTCAGCTAATGTTATTTCCAGTCAGTGAGATGGTTAAGGATGATGCAGGAGGCAGATGGAAAAGCAATTCTAGGGTGATATTTGAATGGCAAAGTGAAAGGCATATTAAGAAAGCATGGCAGAGAACACTGACGGCATTGGGCTTGGATGGAACAGATCTACATCAGCACCAATGAAACCCCATCCAGCGGGCCTATGTAAAACCCCACTGCCCTAATTACAACCAGACACATCCGGTGTTTCTTTTGCACACTTTTTAACATCTTAGAATGGGGATCACATAGAATTTGTAAGAAACATCATTCTTGAATCCTACAGCAGTCTGTGCTACCAAAAAATAAAGGTTCTTCTACGGAAAAACACTCTGGAAATGATGGACATAAAGATCAGCCACCATATTTAAAGTTAATGGAGTTTCTCTGGGTTACACTGATGTCACAGAGGAGAATTTGTCCCCCCGCCACGACTATTTACACAAATGCATGGCAAAGCACAGTGTACAGCAGTAGTGCAATTTGTGGGGATGCCACAGTAATAACAAAGACAAAAAAAAAAAAAAAAAAAAAACGACAACCACATCTAACAAATCATAAAAACAATTATCCCCACCCTGTAACACTTAGCAACAAATTGTTATCACACATCACCAGTTAAAACTGTAGATATATGGAATGGTGTAGAGGCACTTACCACCATCCTGGTGTGAGAAGCTCTGTAAAGACACAAATATGGGGATCAGTTACGCCTTCATGTGATGTGAAGTCTCCAAGTTTTTACTCTAGAATTAGCTTGGGTTTGCTGTGTGCCTCTTTGAGGCTTATAAAGTGGGAGAGAACTACCGAGCTCTAAGGCTGTATGTCTACACACCGATAGCAGCAGCAGATAGGGAATGTGTAGCTACACGCTGCGGTGAAAAGCAGGCCATGTGTAGCAATATGAGAAAGACTCAGGCAGGCGGGAGGCAGCGGGGAAAAGACGCAGCCCCTTCCAGAGCCTCTCCCCCACCATCGCAGTCTTTCCCTGCAGTGGGGAAGAGCTCCACCCCCGGGACACCACGCTGCTAAATCCTAGCAGTGTAAACAAGGAGTTATGGCTTGGGTGAATAGAGAGTTGTGCAGCGTATGTACTCTCATATGTACCCACACCCTTCAGGTGTGACTTTCCTCACCTATGCCGTGTGTTGCCAGCTACACTGCTATTCACACCAATGCTGGGGGGCTACGTGTGTACATAGTCTACCCACTGCCAACAGAAGTGTGAAGAGCAGCTGCACCTTGAGGGTAGCTGGGTGGTAAGAGGAAGGGGATACCTAGTGCCATTGACATGAGAGCACCTGCTGGTCAAGATAAGAAGCAATATTCAAGAGTGTGGAATGTGGTCTGGACCCTCAGCAGGAGGATACCACAATGGAGTGAGCCCAAGGAAGGGAAGCATACATACTCAGCTGCTATAGGAGAGATTGTCTATGTACGGGTGCACTTCTGGACTGGCTGAGGGGGGCATTTCTCTCCAACCAGACTTTTTATTATCTGGCTGCTGTCTCCTTAAGTATGGCTGCAGGATTCCTGCACTTTCACTCCAGTGAAATGGAGAGACCCCCACCGCTCCCCAAAAACCAATGGCACACCCTAAAAAAAGCCTAGGAAGTCCAGCAGTCTTTGGAAAGGCAGGTGAGTAGAAGAATAACCTGCCCTAGATAGTTGGGTTTGAAAGCACTGGAGTTTTTTTGATCTTGCTCAGTCCACTTCTTATTAGACTCTCCACAGCTATTCTCCTGCTGTGCAAAGGCACATAACACTGCAAACGCTGCTTTCAATCAGCATTACATCTTGGCTTCACTCTCTTTGAGACTGAATCTTTTTTTGTACCTTTTGAAAGTCCTCAAAGGATTTCTCTGTCTCCTTTAGTTTCTCCAAGATGATTTGCTCTTTGGCAGATATCTGGGATTCTTCACTTTCTAGCTTCTCTATTTCTTGTTCCAGCCTGGAAGACATGGGAAAACCATCCATCGTTTATTTCAGTGGCATACTAGATATCTGAAGGCAGCATCACCCTGGTAAGTGAGCATTGGCTTCCTAGCTGCGAAGGTATTAATCAGGATGTTAAATAGGTCAGGAGACAGCGGGGGAGTTTCAAAATCTTGTTCAAAAATGGTTTCTTGGCACAGGAGGAGGCTAGAGGGAAGACAGGGCTTAGAGCACTTGTGGTATAGAAAGGTCTATGTCAAAAAGATGGGAATTTTGGATGTGATCAACTTGTCTCAGAACATTTGTTAAATTAACACCCCCCACTTCCTGCTCCATTTTGGAAATCTCAGTAGGGCAGGTATATAAACATGCAATAATATTTGGAGGAATAAATATCTCCAAATCCTTCCACACCATAAAGGACGGAACTGGAAGCAGCTGTTAGAGGTTGGCAGGGCCCCAGCCCCATTAACAGGATTTCCTGAGCCTGCGTGGTGCTCACTTCCAGCAGACAGGCCCTTCACTTGGGTAGGATTCTCGGTTTCATCTTTCTACCTTTCCCATTGTTTTTGGATGATAATGGGGGCAGATCCCTATCAGCCTGCAGGTAATACATACCATGACCTGCCTAGAAAAGCCCTGGAGAGTGATCCTTAGAGATGCTAAATACCCATAGTGCTCATGGTTTTCATTGAGAGTTGTGGGCTCTCAGTACTCTTCAAAGTAGGACCAGAATGATGTTATATTGTAGCTATATAGGGCCAGATCCTCCACTGGTGTAAGTCAGCCTCACGCCATTGACTTCAGTGGTTTACACCAATGAAGGATCTAGTTCAGAATTTTTCTGGAGATATGACATACACTAACTTATATACAACATTATCACTATTTCTGCACCATCCATAAAAAATTAATTGTCATATGGAATGTTTGATTTGAGCAAAAGCCGAAGTTTCAAAACCGGGATTATCTAAAGTTCAGAAAGCCCACTCACTTCAGTGAGAGCTATGGTTATCCAGCACCTCTTATTGACGTGCCTCAGTATGGATGTAGGAATCTCATATTAGGCACCCAAATGTGAAAATTTTGGCCTCTATTTCTTTTCTCGCCGGGCTACAGGACAGACAGCATCGCTGAGAATACATTACACAGGAAAGTCAGCCCATCACTCACCAAAGAGCACTCTTTAGAACACTCCTAACGCAACGAATACATTGGAAATGGACATCCGCAGAACCAGAGTACTAGTTACGAGATGGCTAGCTCCTGTCCTTTCTTTTCCCTTGGCAATCAATGCTCAGTTATCCAGGCATGTTTATACCTCAAAGATGAAGATATATGAGGCCTGATGAATTTACACTGCGGAGATGGGTACACACATATTCGTTTTTTTGCAAAATCGGTGGTTGCAGCATTCCGTACTACAAAGTCTGTAATATTGTTTTCTGCTAGCCAAATGATTTCAGGTGGACCGGTAGGTAGGGAAAAAGAATGTGCATCTGACAAAGCCAGAAAATTGCAGAGGGAGAATTAACTCCTTTCCCCTTTTAAACAAACCAGAACTAGTCAATCTATTATCCCACTGACGTTAATGGAATAAAATGTTACTCAAGTATGAGTAAGGGTATCTAAATCTGGCCCATAATAATGGAGGGTCGTGTTAAGTGCACCATTTCCTGGATACCAGCTCAGATCTTTGGAGAAGAAGTTTGTCATGGTTGATTCAAGTCAGAAGAGAAAGTTTGTTTCAACCACAAAAAAAAGCTCTCAGCCTTTGCTTTGATTTTCTTTTATTGCTTAGTGGGCTGTTTGCTGTCTCAGTTTTACTCTGTGATGTCTTTTTTCCCCCTCCTCCCATTCTCTCCCAAAGTCCCTACTGCTTTCATGCCAGACTGCCTGCCTGCTGCCCCAGTTAAAAGAACAGTCAGGCAGATGCAACAGTAGATCAACGTCTTTCTGACAGCACATATTGTTCTCGGCTTTCTTTAACCCCTTCTTTGGTTCTCTTAAGAAGCAGTAAAAGCAACAAGAGGGAAGAAAGAAACTAGGGGGAAGCTGTCAGGGTAGATCGCTGGAGATGAAGGGACATGGATTTTTAGTCTGACACTAAATAAGAATGCCTGTAACCATTGCCACCAGTATAAAATGGCATAACTCCATTACAGGCAATGGAGATATGCTGATTTACACCAGCTGAGGATCGAGCCCTAAACTGGGTACTCTGAAGAGCTGGTCCACTCTTGAGAAAAATCTGTCTGGTCAGCTGAAATGCTGGACCTCCAGTCCCTGCTCTTCCTCACTATGAACGATATGAGCAGTGCTGGCCGTTCCAGGAATGTCCAGGTAAGATGTACCCCGTGTGCTGCTGAATGGAGCAGATACATTCAGCGCAGTGACAATGTGTCATGTTCCTTGCAGTACCCAAGACTGTGAGGCACCTCTCTACCACCTGCCCTTAGCATAAAGAAGTCTAGTCTGTACCTGCCACAGGCAACACAAGAACTTCCCTCCAGGCTTCCGCAGGCCTCTGATGGGTTAGCGATAGGCTCACTCCCACCCCGAGTTCTCCGAGCATTCCCAGTAGTGTCCAGCCCCTTCTTCACTGGGCACTTACAGCATTACCAAACCCATTGTTCCCAAAGGAACAGTACAGCACCGCTTACTAGTTACAGCCTGGAACACAGCTTCTGCATAACACATGGCACTTAGATAGGTTTATAGTGAAAACAAGATGAAGTTTATTTAACGAAGAACAGAGATTCATATGGTTGCAAACGGGTATATGGGAAACAAAGAGTACACATAAAACAAAGTCATAGCACATATTCTAGAGCAGGAGTGGGCAAACTTTTTGGCCCGAGGGCCACATCTGGGTGGAGAAATTGTATGCAGGGCCATGAATGTAGGGCTGGGGCAGGGGGTTAGGGTGTGGGAAGGAGTGTGGGGTGCGGTGTGCAGGAAGGAGCTCCAGGCAAGGGGTTGGGGTGCAGGAAGGGTGCGGGGTGTGGCAGGGGGCTCGGGGCAGGGGTGCAAGAGGGTGTGGAGTGCAGGAGGGGGCTCAGGGCAGGGGGCTGGGGTGCAGGAGGAGTGCAGCAGGGGGCTCAAGGCAGGGGGTTGGGGTGCTGGATGCAGGGTTCAGGAGGGGTTTGGGGTGCAGGCTCCAGCCCGGCACTGCTTACCTTGAGCGGCTCCAGGATGGCAGCAGCATGCAGTGGGGCTCAGGCAGGCAGGGAGCTGCTCCTGGAAGTGGCCGGCATGTCCGGCAGAGGCTCCTGGGGGTGGGGTGGGGCAGGCGGCTCTGCCATGCACTGTGGGTACCACCCCTGAACCTCCCATTGGCCACAGTTCCCTGTTCCCAGCCAATGGGAGCTGCAGGGGGCGGTGCCTGCAGGCAAGGGCAGCGTACAGAGCCCTCTGCCCCCCACTCCGCCAGGGGCTGCAGGGACGTGGTGCCGGCTGCTTTCGGGAGTGGCGTGGGGCCATGGCAGGCAGGGAGCCTGCCTTGGCCCTGCTGCGCCACAGGGCTGGCAGTCCCATGGGCTGGATTGAAAGCCCTGACAGGCCGGATCCAGCCCACGGGCTGTAGTTTGCCCTCCCCTGTTCTAGAGCCTAAACTTAGCTAACAAGGTGCCCTCTTCTCTAATAAGGTACCACCCACCCCAAAGTCCTTCTCACCATGTTTTTCAACCAGGATAGCAGAGACCCTTCTTTTGCGAGGCCAAGCCAGCTCAGAGCCTGCCTCCCCTGATGAGGGATAACTGGGGGGTTCATCTGCACCCCAGATATAGTTCCAAAAGTTCATTGTCTCTACTCCCTAACAGGATAGCCTCTGCTGGGTTTGTTTTTTCCTGCAGCGCCCACAACCTATTGATCAGCATTTTGCTCAGGCGGTGAATGAGCAACCATTGTGAACCATACAATACTCACTTTGCATACACGACCAGCCAGAGAGAGAGAAGCATCTCTTTCTGCCTGCCTGTCAAGAATATGTGGCTCACTTTTTGGTGACCTGCCTTAACTCCCAGACCTAGAGAACATAATTTTTAGTATATCTACACACACAGAACTCCTCACCTATTTTCCATGCATACGTCAATGAGTATGACCACCAGTGTAACACAGGCTTTCATCAGAGACCTTACAGGACATTCTTTGGCAAACTAGTATGCAAATCCTAGACCCAGGGGAACCCTGTAACCCTTATGCACCCCTGGGCCCTCTGTCATTTGTTACAAAGAGGTTACTGAATCATGCTATTGAGGGACAACAGCAGCAGAGAAGAGGGGATCTACCCTGTGTGAAGGACCATGTTAAGTTTCCAG